GAACTGGGGAAAACAGCGGGGGAGGAGTCAGGAGGAGGAAACGTGGGACCGTAGACAGGAGGAGAGGCGGAGGAGGGAGGAGAAGGAGAGGGGAGACCAAGGGTCCGAAGACCCGAGACAGGAGGAGGAAGTGGCTGCTGCTGCTGCTGCTGCGGCTGCTGCTGCTGCGGCTGCGGCTGCTGCTGGGACTGCTGCTCCTGCGGGTCCAGCTGCTGCTGCTGCTGCTGCTGCTCCTGCGGCTCCAGCTGCTGCTGCTGCTCCTCCAGCCGCTGTAACTCCCTCTCCTCTCTCTCCAACGCCAGCTGCTCCTCACGGGCACGGCGAACACGAGCCTGGTGCCTAGTCGGGTAGGGGTGGGGGGGCGGAGTAGTGTCCGGAGCAGCGGCAGCTCCAGAGTCCACCCCCGAAGGACCAGGCGCACCACCCCCAGAGGCAGCACTAACACCAGCTCCAGACCCAGGCTCACCAGAACCCGAAAGAGGCGCACCCTCACCCCCAGACGGAGCACCCCCAGTGTCCGCGCGACCAGCACCAGCTCCCGGAAGACAAGAGTCCTCTGCACCCACCGGCTCAGCTCCAACTCCAGCACCCCCAGAACCAGAAACCGGTACAGGAACAGGCTCGGCACCAACCTCTCGAGAGCTAGCACCTGCGGCACGCTGCGAGGAGGACTGTGGGGAGGGAGGCTGTACCGGAGGGGCTACCGAAGGAGGAGGGGTAGCCTGGGACACACCTGACGGGGCTGGACCAGGGGGGGGAGGCTGTACCGGGGGAGAATGAGGGGGAGCGGCAGTCAGGAAGAGGGGGGGAGGAGGAACCGGGAGACCTCGACTGGGGTACCTGACGTAGTACGGGGTGGACTCCTCGAAACGGACGTCACGGGAGTCAAAGAACCGGTGAGAGGGAGGGTGGTAAAAGGTGAAGTCAGAGGAGTCCTCAGGGAAACCAAGGAAGACACAAGGAACGGCGCGAGGCGAGAGCTTGTCCGCAGAGGTGTCGCGAACAAGAGCCAAGCAACCCCAGACACGAAACCTCGACGCAACACCAGGGGACCCGGTCCAAAGACTAGACGGCGAAGCCTCTGGCCTAGAGACGCGTGGCCAGAGGTTCAGCTGGTGCGCGGCGTACCGAACCGCGTAAGGCCACAGAAAATGGGGGGCACGGGCGTGAGTCAGGGAGGTGCGGGCAATCTCCATGACCAAGCCTATGCGGCGCTCAGCAACCCCATTCTGCTGTGGGGACTCTGGAAGCGTCCAGGACTGACGAATGCCCTGCTCGCGACAGAATCCAGCGAGAATGCCGGAGCGAAACTCACCCCCGCGGTCGGAGTGAAGACAGCTGACACGACGGCCACGAGTGTCCTCGGTGGTGAGCAACCACCTGATCAGCATAGAAGTCACCTCAGACTTCTTCGCCAGGGGGAACACTGTGGTGTAGCGGGAGTAGTCGTCAACAACCACCAGAAAGAAACGCTCACGCTCAGGGCCAAGGCGAGAGGCGGGGCCCCAGACGTCCAGGTGAAGCGTCTCAAACGGCTCGGTGGCCGGACGAAGGGAGGAGGAGTGAGGGGTGGCGCGCAGCCGACCCTCGACGCAAGGACCGCACGGTGGTGCAAGGGACGGCGGCAGCGACGGCAAGACACGCGGGAGACCTAAGACCAGACGCTGACTAGACATAGCACGCAGACGTGGAAGAGAAGGGTGTCCCATCCGGTGGTGCCACAGAACGGTGGGGTGGGCAAGCGACCGGCAGGAGCAAGACGCAGCGACTGGACTGGACGCGACAACCTGAGGGGACGGAACCACCTGGTGAGACGCAGGGAGGAGACTAGGGGGAGGGACAGGAACTGGGAGTAGGGGCTGCTGCGACGGCGGCCGCTGCGGCTGCTGCTGCTGCTGCTGCTGCTGCTGCGTCCGCTGCCGTGCACGCGGGCCAGTGTGAAGAGTGTAGAGACCGGAACCCGGCTCAGCAGCAAAGGTGGCCAGAGGCTGGTAAGAGTCCCCGTCAACACACACCGCAGTCTCCCCAGAAGGCTCAAACCACACACCCACGTGCTGACTCACGAGGGGTCGCACGCCCACCAAGTTCCGGGAGAACGAGGGGACATGAAACCCAGTGAGAGACCCGGAGGGAGCAGCAGGACACGGCAAAGTGGTAGTGTGACGCGCAGTGACTGGTCCCGAGGTGGGATCAGCCAGTGCCACAGAGACAGGCGCAGGAAGTGGCGTAAGTGTCGTGCTGTCACGAAAGAAGCAGTGCGAGGCTCCAGAGTCCAGCGTGAAAGACAGTGAAGCGTCCTCCGAGGTAGCCGCTGGACTAGTGTCTACACAAGAACCTACACTAGCAACAGGCAACTGAGCAAGGCTAGCACCTAAGCTAACAACACCAGAGTAAACAGAGTCAGAAACACTAGAGTCAACAACAGCATACATAGCATGAGGAGTTCCAATCAGATCAGCTAACTGCTCGGCAGACATGTCCCACAGAGCGGAACCGTAACGCTGAACAAGGGGAAACCAGTCAGGGGCAGGACCGCCAACCCCGTAAACCAAACGAACCGTGTCAGTGAGCTGAGCAAAACACTGACCAGGGGGGTGAAGGCGGCCACAAGGGTGGCCCCGGCGAGCACCTGTCAGAACCTGATAGGCGCAGGGAGGGTAAACAGCACCACGCTGCGGCTGACGCGGCCCCGACCCCGAAGCCAGCTGCGGCCGCTGCTGCTGCGGAGGCTGCTGGGAGGAGAGGGGCTGCTGCTGCTGCTGCTGAAGCTGCTGCTGACGCTGGGCCCGGTACCACGCCGCTGCTCCACCCACCGGGGCTGGCAGTACAAGGGGCGACTGACGAACGCGGGCGTCGCCACCACCAGCAGTCGCAGTGGAGTCACCGGTCGCTGCACGAGACGTCTCTCCAGGCCCTGCACTCCCACCACCGCCAGTCGCAACGCCACCCCCACTACCTCCGCCTCCACCAACGCCGCCGCCAGCACCGCCCCTCTTGCCACCCCTACCGCGGGACCGCGACGAAGTCGTAACAGCAGCTGCGGTCGCGTCAGTAGCGGCAGTGGCGAGAGAGGCAGTAAAGGTGGGCAACTGCGGAACTGTGCACCCGTGGAAGAGCGGGGGGGGCACAGCACCAGAGGCAGCGGCGACGGAGCGGAGGTTGCTCTCGACGTCCTTGAGTGCAGACTCAAGGACGTCAACAGTGAGCTCACTAGGGTGCTTCAGGAGAAGCGCGTCACGAACGGAGGCAAGGCGGTCGGGGAGGCTAGTGGCGATAAAATAGATAGTAATCGCCATGGGAGGAGGAAGCAGTGCGAGCTGTGCCTCAGTGCAAGCAGCGCGGTAACTAGAGTCGAGCGAGCGGAGGTGAGCAATCAAGTCAGCAGAGCGCTCAAATGAGGCGAGGTCAGGGAACAGGAACGGGAGGAAAAGGCGGCCAAGAGAGACAGCAGCAGGAGTGGAGTAGCGGGCCTTAATCGCAGTCAGGTACTCAGCAGCAGTGCGAACCTGAGCAAAGTGAGCCTCCTCAGACTCAGGGAGGAGGGTGCTGAGCGCGATGCAGGCCGCAGCGTCACGCGACGTCCAAGCTGTCAGGTCAGCGCGCTGGCTAGCGAAGCGAGCTCTAGCGGCGTCTCATGGGCAGGACCTAAAGGCATAGGTTCGGGGGGCGCAGGGAGGGCACCAGTAGCGTGCGCCCAGAGGGTCTCGCCTGACTGGACCTGACTCTCTAACTGACGGCGAGCGCGCATAAGCCAGAGTGAAAAGTCAAGAGGTCTACCGTCAGCGTCGAAACGAAGTACACGTGGAGTCGCCATAGTGAAAACTAACGGAAAAGCGGTGGCAGGAAACCCTAAACGAGGTGGCGTGGCGAAACTCGGGCGGGAAAGGGCGAAACGGGAAACCCTAAACGAGGCACAGGCGCAGCTAAACGGGGGGGCGTTAAAGGGCAGCCGCACGGGGGCTAAGGGCAGCCGCGCGGGCGCGGGGGCGGGCGTTAAGGGGCAGCCGCGCGGGGGCCGACGCGACGAGCAGCGAAGGCGGGCGCCGCGGCGACGGGCGCAGGCTGCGGGCGCGACGTCGGGCGCCGCGGCGGGCAGCGACGGCGGGCGCCACGGCGGGCAGCGACGGCGGGCGCCGCGGCGACGGGCGCAGGAGCGGGCGCGACGGCGGGCGACGGGGGAAGGCGCAGCGGCGGCGCGCGTAAGGGGGGGACGATCGACGGGACGACGGGCTGCAGGGGGGAAACGCGACTCGACGGGCAGCGGGGGGAAAAACGCGACTCGACGGGCAGCGAGGGGAAAAACGCGACTCGACGGGCCTCGGAGGGGGAAAACGCGACGGGCCAGCAGGGGGGAGGAAGGTTGCTACGCTACTCGAGTAGGGGATCGGCGGAACGGGCGGTAACGAAGGAACGGGACGAGAGCGGGCCGGCGCTAGGCTCGGGCAAGACGTGCGTAAGTAATACGAGAGAGGGAGACAGGCTCGGACGATACGAACGAGGTCGGGAGGAACGGGATCCTACAGGATCCTAACCTAGGTGATACCATGTCAAAATCGGAAGTGTTGGTTCATTGATGGTGGTTGGGGTACAAGTAGCAAACCCTAACATACGTACCCCCTAAGACAAACCTCACTACAGGCTACCAACATTTGACAGCGCGGCAGGGCAGGGCAGGGCAGGGCAGCGCGAAAGCGCTGGGAAGGGCAGAAAATTCGGGCAGAAAAGAAGCTAACTGGTGGGCCCTGAAAAAAAAACGGTCCTTAGAAGGACCTGCTCGATACCATGTCGAGAGAGTTACGCGAAAATGAGTGATTAGGTCTAGGATGGGGCACAAACAAGAATGTCGAGGTGAGGACTGTACCCCCTCTAAGGCTAGCCCCTAAATAGCCTAGTTTTGACAGAGACTTCAAGGAGAATGAGGGGCGATGACCTGATGTATGACAGGCAATACGAATGCATACTGAAAATACAACATTGAAGACGTACCGGTACCGGTCCCACTAATTCCCAGCATACATGCCCAACTGCCCAACATCCCTCACCCCGCTGATTCTAATTCCCGTTCACAATTTCTCCACGATTCTCTGCAACTCGACGGACAGCTTAGAAAAACTTCACTCAACTTTTTCAAATGGCCCACGTACTGCGCCGTCAGGGAACCTCATGGTGTGAATGTTCCCATAGAACCCACTCGGATCCTTTCGAATCGCATTGAGAGTTGACACAAATGCCGCTGTCCGTTCCGCCAAATTCTTCCCAAGAAAGCCGTTGCATTTCCAGGCATAGTAATCCGTCGGAATTGAAATAAATTGTTTGCCTGGGGAAAGGCCAAAATTTTCCCAAAAAAACTGGTACTCGCAGGGCAGATCCAACACCTTGGGACCGTTTGATCCCTCTGTTGCATTGTGCACATGCGTCATGATGATCGGGACCTTCTTGGTCCAAACAGGCCGGCCGCGAAATCCCGGAAGTTGCTGCAAGGCATAAACTTTCACTCCGTACTCGAGCCACACTGGCTGGCCGTTTTCCCTGCATATCACACCAGAGAAATGGGGGTTCATCTCGGTTGTAACAGGGTTGAGTGATAGTCACATGACGGAGTTGATATTTTAACCAAGAAAAGAGACTCTTGGTATCACCCATTGGCTCCTCTCTGTAAGAGCGGCGGGGGATTCAGGCCTGACAAACTCACTTGTGGATAAACAACTCCATTTGGCCCCATCCGTATTCGTCGCCGATGGCGTTCACAGCAGCTTCAGTGTCATTCTGGGGAATCTCGAGCACGCTATACATGGTAGCATTGAAGGCGTCTGTTGAAAGAGAAACCGAGGGGGGAGGTGGAGAGGAGGGAAGATCAAGGCGGAAGGGAATGGGAGGAGGGGGTAGGGGATGGTGGGTGGGAGGGGATGGAGGAGGTGGAATTGGAGCTTGGCGGTGAGACATTGAAAGAGAGCCTCCACGGAGTTCAGGTTGGAACAGTCATGCGCCTTTGGAGTTTGGTGTGACATAGAAATCCACGGTCGACATTTCATGGTGTCATATGGAGGAAAAAAATTCGGGCATGCAAACCTGGAGTTCCGAACTGACCAGAAGAAACGGGGGGGATTTTTCTGGAAACAGGATTCTTCTTAGCGTAGGCAGCCGCCACCAGCGCCGCCGCAAGGAACGCTGCACGAAGCACACACGCGACGAGAGGCGAAATCAGTGTTTGGATCACAATACCTGGTTGACAGCTGGTAAGCATGAGCTGGAATTGGTGTTGCGAACTCACGCCAGGGTAACGCTTACCAAACAGTAAGACGCAGCGAAAACGAATGAAGGCCATGAGGCAAAGAGTAGTCAACTAGAACTCGGTTCAAAAGAGGGAGCAAGTTACTGCTTCTAGTAGAGAGGGAAACGGAATGCAGGTTGAGACTTTAGGGACTCCCTCATCTATAGTCACGTTGAGAGTAGGGAAGGAAGAACCAGAAAGACCCAGCGTTGCGGCTGAAGGTGGAGATTGACGGACGCCAGGATTACAAGAGATTCCGCGATAGAATCTCAGCCGGACGATAATCCAAAGTCGAATTTGGAGGTGGATCGAGGTGCATGTTATCGCGAACCATCAATAAGTCCGGCGAGCGCATCTGTCGGCGTCGAATCAACATTCCTGCCATGTCCGACCTGTTATTGGCCGCAACTCGGTAATAGCAACTCTAGGCGAGAAAAGAGACGATTGGCTGATCCGAGGAAGCTATAATGAAGGGTGTGACGCGTTCGTGGAACTTTGACGGTGTCTCTCAAACCAAGCTGGCGGGGAATGGGGAACGGTTGGCGGGGAATGGGGAAAAAGATGGACAGCAAACGAGAAGAACGAAGCCCTTGAGGTGCAGTGAGTTTATACACGGTAAATCGTGGTATTGGATTTTTACCATTTTCTAGCCAATACACGAAAACAGTCCGAGGTACGGTGTGTGGTTGTCATTCACGGTTTGTGTAGATGCATTTCCGACTCTTCGCTTGTTGCAACGGTGCCGTTCGGTTCCAGTTTTTCATATTGCGTGCTGCCATACTGCGGATGTCAAACGATTAGGTTAGGGAACCTTTGCAAGAGGTTGATTACCGAGCGCACCGTACCTAGCTTGTAGGTTGGGACTGTCAAAACCGCCCGCCTCGGCCCAAACAGTTTCCGCCAAAGCCTGAGGTTGGGAAGAAGCTGGGAACAGGTTGAACTTCCCTCCCGACTTTGGGCACTATCGCGTATGCGATTGATATGAGCAAAATTAGAACCCCTACCTCGTCACGGTGCGCAATGGTCTCAAGTGGTGAAAATCGAACTTGAGGCTTGACGTGGTTGTTTACTACTCTATATTGACCGTATTCAACAACGTCAAGCGACGGCTCCCAACGTAGACCCGTAACTGTTCAGGCTGGTACTTAGCGGTTTAGAGCGGTGAAGTTCAGCAACCGTGAAACACCCTGATGAAGAACGCGTTCGTCCTACAAACAAATCGCCCTCCGCAAGTCCCGCAATCTTTCGACCCTGTGCACTGGAGCGCGCTACTGGTGCTAGAGGCGAACGCCTCTTTCCCTTGCGGCCCGCCATAAAAATTCCCCCGCCCGCTTTCATTGACAGGGGCTGCCTAAACGCGTTCACTAGCCGCTAGCTGACGCCTTTCCAACGCCTTCCTCCCGTCATCGCCGTCCCCTCGTGCATCCATTCGCGTTCCTCACCCTTGCGCCCATCATGACGACGAAAGTCCGCACACCGCTGATCGACTCCTTGGCGCTGCCCCAACACCGTTATCGCCTAGTCCTAAGGTCGAGCGATGAATGCGCGTTTCCGGGCCTCCGCAGCTCCCATCCCCCAGTGTTTCCTCCCCTCCCCTCTCTCCCCACTCCCTCCCCACACTCCCTTCCTCCTCTGCGGCGAAACGTTCGAAAGGATTCGCGAATCAAATACTAGGAATAATAAGTCCGAACGTGCGACTCACCACTCGCTCTCAACACATAGATCGACGCCCTCACAGAGCTGAATCACATTCTCCCATCGCTCCTCGTTCACTGCGCGCCTTCGTCTTCTCTACTCAGTCGCCGCACCTTCAAGGTCCCACCCAATTCACCTCGTCGCGACTACCAGCAGCGTGAGTCCCGGCGGTTCAGCTCTGATCGGAAGCTTCTCGCCATTCCGCCGTCATCACCATCCGCCCCTCCCCGCCTTCCCGTTTCCCCGCGCCGTCTCCCGTCGCCATGAAGCCCTGCGCGCGCCTGTCCGGCCTGTGTGGCCTCGCCGCTCTCCTCGCGGGTGTCGTTGCCATCAGCTTCCTCGCGACCCACGCCAGCGCTCAAAGTGAGTAGGCTGGCAGCCGCACACGTCTTGTAGTGCGCATCAATCAACCGAATCTATCTTGTATATTACTAATTTTAACTCCCCTTCCCTATTTTGCCTCTGTTGGTGCGTGTGCCGCTTACTCTCCTACTTGAAAACAATCCATGAGTTCTGTGCAGACCTGTGTACCAGCGACCAGGAGTGTGGTGACGTTGCTTTCTGCAAGAAGTATTGGTGGGGAAGGAAGTGCACGTGCGACACTGGTTATTTCATCGCAGCCAACAAGACGTGTGGGGGTGAGTGTGGGTGTGTGCGTGAGTTCCGGCGGTTCAACTCTGATCGCCCTTCCGCTGTGATCAGAAACTTCTCACCATTCCGCTGTCATCACGACCCGCGCCTTCCCGTTTCCCCGCGCCCACTCCCGTCGCCATGAAGCCCTGCGCGCGCCTGCCCAGCCTGTGTGGCCTCGCGGCACTCGTCGCGGGTGTCGTTGCCACGGTGGTGAGTTGGCTGACTGAGCACCGAGGAGCAGGAGGGAGACGAACGGCTCACAGGGTGCTTGTCGGCTCGTCTCAAGAGAGGAAGGAGGGGAAGGGCGCGACACACCTAACAATCAGCCCCTCCCCTTGTGTTCCATAAAATAGTCCATAAATTAGCGTGGAATGGCGGTGGCCAGATTTTCAGAGCATATGGGACATGGTACGGTAGGGAGGAGGGGTAACCTTATAGGTACTGGGTCACGCCAGGGAGTGAGGTCAGCTGGTGGGCGGTCGAAGGGAGGGCACACCGTCCATTGCACCCACCATGGCCACCCACCATGGCACCTAACCCAAGGGATGCTTGCTCGTGCTTGTACCTTCTTCCTCCCCCATGATCCCCACCATCGTCTTCTCGCCCTCTTGCTCCTAATCAACTTGCTTCTCTCCTCCTGTTTCTCGCGCTCGAATATCGGCCTAACTGAGTGCTTGATCCTCGTGGCCAAGTGTAAGGTCGTAATAATTTACCTCTTTCCTTCAAACCCCTTGCCCTGCTGCACTTGGTTACGAACGCCCACGATATCGCTCTGCAGACCCGTGCGCCAGCATCGACTGCGGACCCAGATCTTCCTGCAAGGTGGACTCTGTTGATGGCAGCGCTCGCTGCCAGTGTGATGATGGTTCTGCCTTCAACGAAACGGACAACACATGCCACGGTGAGTGGTGGAGAGCGAGTGAGTGCACATGAGCGAGTCAAATGTGGCATCGCCTGACTGGCTGAACACTGTTAATGAGCTGGCCTCTCACGCATATTGTTAGTGAGCTGGCCTCTCACACATTGAGGAAAAGAGCCCCTAAGTCAGACTCAGCTGTTGCTGCATAAGTTGAGCATTTTTTTTCCTTTCTTTGTAGCTCTGCTCTCCTTTCTTCTCCTCCCTCAAATCCTACGTGCATGCTCACCCTCACCATTTTCACGTTTTTTTTTGTTTTTCCAAGTGCTCTCGCTTCTCGCCATCTTGCTTCTCGCCTTCTTCATTCTTCTCGTCTCTTGTTCCCACGCTCAGCGAGCCTGGAACAAGAGGGTTCGTGGCCAAGTGCGCTAGTGTCGGCAGTAGCCTGACTACCACACACCACTGACAGTAGGCTTGTGGTGCTGGCGTGTGGATGAGTGCAGGCGTCTGGGGGAGTGCACAAGCATACAAAAGAATAATCTGTCCTTTTCAAACCCCCTTTCCCTACCTTGCTTCTGTGCTGGTGCGTGTGCCTCCTTGCTTCTTAAACAATCACGAATCTGTGCAGATATGTGTGCCGACAAGGATTGCGACGATGGTACTTGCGTGTATGATCCAGGCTTTGATCGGGCCGAGTGCGTGTGCAAGAAGGGCTTTGTATTCGACGATGACAACACCAAGTGTGTGGTGGGTGAGTGCTGATGTGTGGGTGAGTGCTGGTGTGTGGGTGAGTGCTGGTGTGTGGGTGAGTGCTGGTGTGTGGGTGAGTGCTGGTGTGTGGGTGAGTGCTGGTGTGTGGGTGAGTGCTGGTGTGTGGGTGAGTGCTGGTGTGTGGGTGAGTGCGCACGTGTGGGTGACTTCACAGTTCACAATCATCAGCAACAGTTCTGCTTTCAACCCACTTTCACCTCACCTTGAAACCGCCCATCACTTGCTCTGCAGACCCGTGTGTCAGCCAAGGCTTGGATTGTGGATCAGAGGCTCACTGCGTTGGTTACAGTCCTAGCGACTTCGGTTGCCAATGCAACACGAAAGGTTTTTTCCTCCACGAGGCTGACAACACGTGCTTTGGTGAGTGCATCACTGGTGAGTGCATCACTGGTGAGTGCATCACTGGTGAGTGCATGACTGGTGAGTGCATCACTGGTGAGTGCACCACTGGTAAGTGCATCGCTGGTGAGCTGTTGACACTACATTTCTTGACACTCTCGCATTTCAGCATCTCAGCATTTCAGCATCTCAGCATTTCAGCATGTCAACAGACACTGAGAGGCGCCACTGCGATGCAACGCTTGGAACGTTCACCCCTCCTCATCCTCCCACACCTTTCCCCCTGTCTGCCCCATTCCGCTCCTCTCCCCTGTCCCCCCTCCAACTCGACGCCTTCAATCCCCCGTCATCGCCATGCAACCTCGATTAACCATCCATCGTCGCATCAACGGTGTTAACGGTGTTAACGGATTCAACACCCCGCCAGGCCCTGTGGTCCGGACGTCGGTGGTGTACATAAGGGGCTCTTATGGAATGCGCTATTATGCTCTGGGGGACAACGCCTTCTTTCTAACTCAGCGTCCAGAGCAGGCCATGGGCACCATCGTGTGCAACACAGACACGGCGATGGTGGGCGACAACAGGATCACTGTCGTGTGGAATGCCACCAACCCCGTCTGGCATACATACGTGTTCGGCTCAGGCTACAGAAGGAACGATGACTACTTGCCTGGCAACGCCATGTGCAAAAGGTTGCTGTTTTACAACAGCAATGACTGCACGGGGAAGGTGGCCTTCACACTCGCACGTCCTGCAAAGAAGGGTGGCTCCTACCCTGTAACAAAAAAGTGAGTGAGTGTGATGCACACATTGTTGTGGTTTTTTCCGCTCTGCTTGCACCACATAGTACGGCATCTCTCGTATCACCAGAAACCGCTTGAGCATCGTAACGTGAATGGAGAGAATGTCATAATTTACCGCCATCTCTGGTCTGCTGCACTCTCTTTGCCTCTCCCTCTCTCAGGACTGTCAATGAAATCGCTCTGGTGGGATCAACTGGATGCGAGATCAGTAAGTGCGAGCGCATGCACGAAATACTACTAAGGTGATTAAGCACATTAACTTGATCTCTGCTCATTCTGATAAAATTGATTGCATAGGAAAGATGACTTTTGCATTGAGTCAAAAGACAAAGGAGAGATTCTGTAAGAAAGAGCAAGACACACACTTAACCTGTATTTTGTGATTCTGTTTTTTGAATCCCTTTACCTGAAAGCCGTCCCCTTACTCTACATGCCTGGATTGTTTGTCTCTCTGTGGTGCCCACAACAGCCATGTGTGAGAATGATTGTGGAACTGCTGGGTGCGGTCAGAAGGAGGGCCAGTGGCAGTGCCAGTGCCCCGAGGGCCTCGTGTTCAACGCTGCTAAGAAGCGCTGCCTCCACCCGACTCCCACTCCTCGTCGTAGGTTCCTTGTCGTTTGTTGCATGGTTGCCAATACAAAAGAATCAAGCGTTGTTGTTTGTTGCATATTTGCCAGTGTGGCACCAGCCACACCAAGAGGAGCAGGCTCTGCCTTGACTGGCTCTACCATCTTTCTGTACCATCTCACGGTTTACCCTGTGGCCTGCTCTCCATTTTCTACCCCCTCCCATTGCAACCATGAACTGATCTGACCATTATTACCATGAAGGGGCTGGTGGGCAAGCGAAGAAATGGCGACCCTAGCTGGATGGGCAGGGGGCAAGGAGGCGCAACTTGCCAGCGCCAAAGGAACGTTGGAGCGGAGGTGCGAGCAACTGCATGTGGTTGCTCGGAGGGCCAGAAACCAATAGGGCTGACAGTTGTCGGTCATTTTGTGTGTGCGGTACCGTATTACTGGTAGAATTGGGAATACGAGTGTGTATGATTGCTTGCTGGTATGTTGTACCATAGTGTCTACTTTCAGTTTCAGACAGATACGAATTGAAAAAACTACTGGAAATATCAGGATGTCTTAGCTTTTCTGTGCTTCTTTTGCGTTGGAAATGGACCTGTACAATGAGAGAGGAAACAAGAAGGAGAAGATCGCTTTCTACGCACAAGCGCCACCAGACAAGAAGAGACTCTTCTGCAAGTACTGCAAGAAGACTGGACACACAATTCAAGATTGCTGGAAGCTGAACGGCAACAATAACAACCAGAAAGGAGCCGCCACTCACCAGCAAGGAAGGACTCCAGTGCGCAACCAGACCGTGTCACCGCGTCGCAAGCACATCCCAAGCTCCGGCGCACAACCGACAAGGGCAAGAGCAAGGTGTTAACTTGCATGGTGCGACGAGGTCCACCTCGTCCCAATGGACACTACCGCTTCTTCCGCAACTGGGAAGATATGTTCGCAGATCCGCCACAAGAGCGTCCTGAAGGGTCGGTCGAAGACGAAGAAGAAAACGACCCAACATACGACGAGCTGACGGTTGGACGCATGGAGTATGATTGGGAAATGCCGCCTTGGATCCAGGAGTCACCACCTGCACGCGAGGCATACGAAGATGAGGATTATACCTATGATTACGAACATGAGCACGACATGGAGCATCACATCACTCCAAAGCTAGCCAACATAGCCAAGGCAAGAAAAGAAGTCAATACTTGGTACGTGGACAGCTGCTGCGGACAACACATGGTGTCGTCAGACGTCTTCATTCTCAACAGTGAACGCCTCTTCAATGAAGTGGAGATCACCGTCGCCAACAGCCAAACCATTTACGCAAGCAGCCGCGACCAGATCCAGTTGGAATCCCATGACACCGGGTACTGCATCCACAGCAGCGACGTGCTCGTTGTACCCGAAATCCGGTACAACCTTCTGTCCCTCCACTAGTTGATGAAGTGCGGAGTCGGCCTGGAAACAACAGAAGACGAGATGCACTTGATTTCCAATGGGATCTTCATCGGGAAAGCGACAAGTGTGGAAGGAGTGTTCGTGCTTGACTTTGAGTCACCCAGAACCTCTGGCGACCCCGACGTACTACACAAGTAGTGCAGTACCCTCTTAGCAGCATCCATGTGCACCTTTCGGTGCCGACCAGGAGCCATGTAGCGAGCCAGAAGGCCAAGAGGGTACGCGAGGTCAGGTCGAGTGCAGGCCATCAGGTACATGAGGCAGCCCACTAGCTCTGCGTAAGGACCACTCGACTCTGCGGACTCGTCCGAAGGTGGAGCTGAGAGCGAGTGACCTGTAGCTAGAGGAGTGGACTGTGCGGAGGACCAGGTGAAGCCGAAGCGCTGAAGGACCTGCTGCACCATGTGTGACTGAGTCAGGGTGATGGTGCGGCGTGCTCTGTCTCGGGTGATCTGCAAGCCAAGGTAGCTGCGCAGCTCACCCAGGTTTGTGCACGTGTGTCTCTTCTGCAGCTCCGACTTCACGAGGGCGAGAGAATCAGCAGTGGCAAAGACCAGGTCGTCGACGTACACGAGGATGTAGAACAGCGGCAGCGAAGTGTCGGTGCGTAGAAACAGCGACGGGTCAGCTGTCGAAGGAGCGAACCCAAGAGCCGCAAGTGTAGTCCTCAGTGTGTCGTGCCACTCACGAGGCGCCTAACGGAGACCGTAGACTGGCCGCCGGAGGCTCCACTGGGTACCGGGAGGGAACGACCCAGTGAAGCCAGGTGGGCGGCGCAGCTAGATCTCCTCGTGCAGGCTGCCCTGTAAGAAGGCTATGCTGAAGTCAAGAGAGTGAAGCTCGTAGTCACGCTGAGCGGCAACGTGCAGCAGCACCCAAAGAGTGGTCATCTTCGAGGTAGGGGAGAAGGTCTGGAAGAAGTCAACTCCCTTACGCTGACTGAAGTCTCTAGCAACGTAACGAGCCTTGAAGACAGGCGGAGAACCCGGCGGCCGTTTCACCCTGAAAATCCACATGCCATCGATGATGTTCGCCCCAGGAGGGGGAACCTCATCGACGTAAGTGCCTGTGGACTTCCAGGATGCCATCTCTGCGTCCATAGCTGTCTGCCACTGAGAGGAGTACTCACCCACGATCGCCTCAGTGTAAGAGCGCGGGGTCGGGATGTCTGGTGCATCCGGGTCTCCCTCAGGGGAAAGCAGCATGGCCACGAGATGAGGCGCAGCAGCCGCAAGACACTCAAGGTCCTCGTGCCTGTCCTCAAGGACGTCCGTGCTAAGAGCACACTCACCCCTGACGGACGGAGGACAGACAGACTCAGACTCAGCAACAAGACTAGCGGCGTAGTCTAGACGACAGGCAGCAGCAAAGTCAACAAGCTCAGTGACCAAGGCAGACGCAGCAGTAGACTCAAACGACGGGTCAGTGACAAAAGTGGCTAAAAGACGCGTGACAGTAGGGTGTGCAGCACAAAACTGGTCAGACTCAGGGTCCGGAACGGCAGGCAGAGAGGACGCAGGAGGAGACGGCAGAGGAACACGCTGCGGAGCAGAGGAAGGACGCAGAATCATGTGGTGTGTGCTGTGGACAGCCGGCGGTCGCGGACGAGGAACACGACTACCAGTACGACCAGTGCGGACAGTGCGAACAGGCGAGACAGGACGCGACGCAGGCTCACGACGCGCAGCAGGACCACCAGGCTGCTCATTGTAAGGAGAAGGAGCAGGCAGCTGGGAACCAGGCTGTAACGGAAGACCAGTAGACGACGGTAGTGTAAGAACCTGATGAAGTACAGTGTCAGACGGTGGCAGAGACGACGGAGACGGCGGAGCGAAGAACAGGCGTGGCTCCGTAGTGCAGCCAGCACCAGCAGCTCCAGCACCTCCAGCAGCTCCAGCACCTCCAGCACCTCCAGCACCTCCAGCGCCAGCACCTCCAGGACCAGCGTCACCAGCAGCGGCACCTCCAGAACCGACACCTCCAGTCCCAGGGTCTCCAGACTCAGTATCTCCAGCAGCAGCACCCCCAGAACCGGCACCTCCAGTCCTAGGTGTTATAGTTACGGTAGGCTTCAATGTGCCTAAAACGAAAGATAGAGTGCACAGTCGGATTTCTGTCCAGCGGCTTTAAACGTTCGTAGCGATCTGGTCACAGCTCCAAACGACCTCATTCAACTTGGATCTGGAGCATCTTAACGTGGCCTACAACAGACAATTTAGATCGCACGATTTCATTAAAGCGACGGGCAACTTTTGGCAGTGTTGGGTTCAGAAGTTTTTTTTTTTTAACCAGGCTTGCCAGCGCGAAAGTGTTGGCTGGCGAAAACCAGGATTTCGTGCAGACACTTTTCATCTGCAGTAACAGTTCGCCAGGGTTCTGGGTTTTGGGTGGCAAATGTGCACCGTCGCTTTAAGGATTGACGACACAGCGTCAGATTGAACGAACGGCACTATGGCAGCAACATAGTCTTGGAACACACAATTACGAACCACTAGGAAGAGTTACGAGTTAGGAAAGACTTCCAGCTCCTACAAACCCCAAGAGCCGAGGTACAGTGATGGGGAACAGTGCCACACTGCCCCCAACCAAGAAGGGTCTCGAAACTACCCTCCACAAGGGCCTACTCCCACGGAAATGTTAAATACACATTGTAATGTAACAATATTCAATATCTTGAGGTGTACTCTTTCGGCGAGCTTCGAAATCACTTGAAGCTTGCAACCAAGGCTCGGGTTCTTCATCACAAACTCATCCTCGAGTTCTTGATGGGTCTGCTGCACACACCTGCGACACGCCGAACGTTCGACAAGCGACAAAAATTAGAAACCGCGCACGAAAAAATAGAAACCGCGTAATATGCGGCTAGCGATAACTCGCTATTGACTCGACACACACACTCGACATCATGACCCATCATTCACACAACATCATGCACACATACCACTCCATGCACACACGCATGCACGCACACGCACACGGACAACAAGCCGAGTGCAAACCGTAGGGTTGCACCAACACTAGGGTCTCCAGCCTCAGTGTCTCCAGCAGCAGCACCCCCAGAACCGACACCTCCAGTCCCAGGGTCTCCAGACGCAGTGTCACCAGCAGTAGCACCCCCAGACGCAGCACCCCCAGCCCCAGCAGCTCCAGTACCTCCAGTAAGACCACCTCCGGGACCAGCAACTCCAGCACCTCCAGTAGACAAAGTACCAGCACCACTCCCAGCTCCAGCGACGACAGCAGAAACACCTCCAGCTGCAAAGCCCCGAGGTCTAGCAGCGAGACCCTGACGGCGAGTGTACCATTCGTGCAGCTGCTGTGGGGAGAGAGGCGCACGCGGACGAAGGCGGCCACTCCAAGGAGACCGCGCACCAGCAGTCTCAGTACCCGCAGGCGCCGCACCCCCAGACTCAGCACTCTCAGGCTCAGCACCCCCAGACGCAGTACCCCCAGGCTCCTCACACACAGGCTCAGCACCTCCAGGCTCAGCACCCTCAGGCTCCTCACGCTCAGGCTCAGCACCCCCAGACTCCGCACCCCCAGGCTCAGCACCCTCAGGCTCCTCACGCTCAGGCTCAGCACCCCCAGGCTCAGCACCCCCAGAGACAGCACCCCGAGCAGGACCACCCCCAGCAGGACCCGAGTCACCAGTGACCTCAACAGGCGCAGGCACGGGAGGGTCTACCTGAGAAACACCTGAAGGAGCAGGACCTGGCGCGGGGAGGGGGTCTACCTGGGGAGGACCTGGAGCGAGAAAGAGCGGCGGCGCGGGGCGAGTGGCAGTGCGGTAGGGAAAGAGATGGTAGAAGGGGACAGACTCGTCAAAAGTGACGTCCTGAGAGGC